TCGGTCAGCTATCATTCACTGTGTTCTCACCAGCCAAGCATAAGGTAAGCACCAGGCAGATGTGGCCTCCTCTAAAGACAGATGGAGGAAGAGGGCTGCAGAAGGCAACGGAGTCCTCATCCCCCACAGCAGCTCTTGCTTGAGCTCTACCTGGCCCCTGACTGAGAGATGATGCTTCCATACATCTCTCCTTGCTATCTGGGGAGGTACTGAAGTTTATTCCGGGTAAGCTCTTGATGGCCAATGCAACGAGAGGCCTATAGTGGATGTTATGGTGAGAGGCACTTACAGGTGTGTAAGCCAGACTCCTATATTAGTCAGGACTAACAGGGAGATTTGTGTTGCTGTGACCTTGGAGTCCAGCAAGTCTGAAGTCTATGGGCAGGAGCTCAGGAGCTAGTTTGATCCCAAAGGCTCACAGTGACCACAGCAGAGCTCTGATTGGGAACAGGCTTCCTTCCAGCTAGGGAGGCAGAGGAAAGCATAATTTCCCAAAGGGATACCTGTGGTCACCTCTGGGCAGGTAAAACCATAGTGATGAAAAGCCTTTGGCTAGGCCGACTGGGATCAATCACTGTTTTCTCAGTTTCTGAGATTTACCAGCAATGTCTCAGTTTAGTTGCTGGCATAGGCAGTGTGGAGTTTCTTCTGGATCAGTCCCTCTGATGAGATCCATTCCTACTAAACATAGGCAACACAGTAACTGGCAGGTGGCTAGTGGTTTTTTCCTTAAAAACAGACTTAAAAGTCACTTGGTTTCAGGAGTTGCCTGAACCAAAAATTATAAATTGTGACTTTTAGCTGCAGAGAGTTGTGGGAAAGAAAGCCTCACAAACCTGTGGCCTAGGATGAACAGAATAGTTTTTTTTCATTTGTTTGCTTGTTTGTTTGTTTTTGGAGTCAATCTCTTTTCATATAGTCCTGGCTGTCCCAGAACTCACCAGGTTGGCTTTGAACTCACAGAGCTTCTGCCTCACTAGAGCAGGAATTAAAGGTGTGTGCCACCATACCCATCTCAGAATGGATACTGTTAAGTTCACTGTAAGTCAGGAATTGCCTCTCTCCACCCCACCCCCAACACCACCAGGAGTTTACAGAAAAATCCAAACTTCTTTCTCTGCCACAAAAGCCTAGCACTAGTCCCATATCTTAGAGCCTTTTGAGACAGACTGAGTTGACTGGGGAGTTTGGGGAAGCCCAACACTGGTGGCTTTTCTTTAGTTTTCCAGGTGTCAAACCAAGAACTCACACCAGCGGGAAGGTAGGAAGTGATGGGCTGACGTTTTCACATGAATGTTTATCCAACTTTAAAAAGCTGTTCTTTATCCTAAGTTTATGCTCTTTATACATTTTGGGCCATAATTATCCTGTGTGTGTGCCTATGTACCTTTTATTGTTTGATTGTTCACTTATTGAGTCAGTCTCCTTACATAGGCCAGGGTGGTCTTGAACGCTAGATCCTCCAACCTTTACCCTCCCCCAAATGCTGGACGACAGGTTTATGCTATCATCCTTGGTCCCTTTCTAAGAAATGATGGTCACCTGAGATATTACTTTTTTTCTAAATACATTGGCCAAGAAGGAAAGACCTCTGTAACAGACCCCAAAGCACTTTGTTTTCTTTCGTTTTCTATTAGACAGTGAAATTTTGGTGAACAGTTACATTGGGGGGATGCCACAGTAGTAGAAAAGAGGAAATGGGTCCAGAAATGGATGCTTTTGGCTAATGGTTCTTAGCCTGTCCTGCGGCTTATTGTTGCTGGGGAAGGAGTAGAAGACTCTAGAAGCCTGCTGATCTGGGTGGAGCAAGAGGAGAGATTCCAGGGAGCAAAGGGAGCTATGAGGAAAGGTGATGAGTTTTCTTCAGGACAATGGCCTATGTGTTTCCCAGCTCCCACCTCTATCCCTCAAAGACTTTCACAGAAGCTCTTACCACTGAGCTACATCCCCTGCCCCTGGTCTCGTGTAGGTCAAGCAGGTCTGGAGTGTACCCAGCTGGGTGTGCCCTGCTACGTCTGCTCCGCAGAAATGCTGACATCTTCCAAGTAACAAGCCCACATGAGCTGGACTCTGCGTCACCTCACACACCGTCTCTTCTCCACCCCACACCTCAAGATCCTGCTTCCTAGAACTGTGTTGTCTGTGGGACCGCAGTTCACAGGCTCACAGATCTCACTAGCTTTCTGGCCAGCTCGTGAAGTGAAGAAGTGCCAGAGCGAGCCACAGAGCACGTGGGCCCTAGACCACAAGCTGAGCTTCTTTCTGTGTGGGTAGGGAGGATGGATGAGACTGGCCGGGGGAAGAAGGGGGCTCTTCAGAGGCGCTATGGGATCTGTAAATTCTTACCCAAGAAGACAGGGAAGCCTCACAGAGGTAGACACAAACTGGCCACAATTACCATTTTTATACAAGTTAGTTACAGGGGAAACATAACATTATTCCAAGACAAAAGGAAACAGGTGTACTGTATTTGTGCCTATTTTAACACAGAGTCTGTGGGTGAAAAGAAGCACCAACTTCAGCAGAGGCAACCATAGTGGAAGCAAACAAGTTAGTGTTTAATCTGTGGCACTCCCTGCCCTGGCTACTACATGCATTTTCTATTTCTGAGAACCAACTCTGGCCTGGATCCAGTTATACTTTTAAGAGTTCTTTGTTTCGCCGGGCGGTGGTGGCCCACGCCTTTAATCCCAGCACTCGGGAGGCAGAGGCAGGCGGATCTCTGTGAGTTCGAGGCCGGGCTGGACCGATAGCCTCCAAAACAATACAGAGAAACCCTGTCTCGTAAAAACCAAAAAAAAAAAAAAAAAAAAAAAAAAAAAGAGTTCTTTGTTTCCGTGGTTCTCTGACAGCTCAGTAGGGTCCCCTGTTCTCATGGTCTCTCTGAAGCTAGAAACCAGGCTGGCCTGAAGCTGGAAATCACTTCAAGTCACTTCACAGCCATTGGCAGGCACTTGGTTCTTGGAGTCTGGGTTTCCAGGGCAGCTGGTGATCCAAAGGGCAGAAAGGCTGGAGACAGCCAAGATAGCAGCTGCATCTTTGGGCACCAAGTCTCAGAGGTGACATGGCGTTGTTTTCACATATTCTGCTTGAGAAAAGTGAGGAGCTACATCGACTTCCTAAGAAGAGGGATTTGATTGCTCATGGGCATAGCTCCCTGGAAGTAGATAGCACCAGACGTCAGCTTGGAGGATGCCTGCCCCAGTCACCCTGCTTATCTTCACATTAATAACAGTAGCAATGGGTCATTAGCTTATCAGGGTTAGTGTGAGAGAGTGTTCTGGCCGCCATTTTCCTTCTACTTTACAACTTGGAAACAATAAATGGGCAGGAAAAAAAATAATGAAAAGTGCTCCAGGAGAGGTAAGTTTTTCTAACCCTCAGCTATTGCACCAGGATCTTAGAGTCTAAATAAATGTCTGAAGTCTGTTCTCATGGTAACTTAGCTGCTCAACACACCAGCAATTCCAACCGCACTTCACAAATGTAGCCTCATTGGAGCAGTGTCCTTGGCCCCTGTTCAGAACTTGCAATCATTCCATCTGATCAAAATCCCACCCTCCACAACCCCGCCCCATCTCTTCCAGCAGCCTGTGGCTCCAGGTTGCCATGACAGCCCTTAGAACAAGTCAGGTGTTCAGTAAACCATTGGCAAATACAAATGAGAATCCTTAAGTTCAATAGACCCTGGAGCGTGCTTGGTATTTCCTTGTGACAGTCAACACTCGTTATTTCACCCAGAAGAAAAGAGAGCATTGTTCGGTTGTGGCTTAGGGCAGAAGGAAACAGGTGGTTCTCACTGTCCAATCGTACTACCAGACACTGGATGATACAGGGCAATGGCATTAAAATCATCTCTTTACAGGCCAAGGGGAACGATCATTAAGACCCCACAGCTAGCTAGTCTACTGCTTCAGTCCTAGACATCCTAGACCTTGTCTCCCCACACACACACACAACTACTGTACGCATAGCTAAGCCTTTCCTGTTGTAACTATGGCCTTCCCCTAGTTCTGACCTCAGGAAAACCCTGCGGGCCTTTAAAGTTCCATATTCTGTCACTGCTCATCAGTGCTCTGCTTTTGGGGACGTGGGGATATGTGACAACTCTTTGTAGCTTTTTCTGCTTGGATCTGCTTGGCCTATTTCTGATAACAGGAAGCCTTTTGTTTTATATGTTGTTGTTGTTTTTTTGTTTTAGTCTTCATGAAATAAGACTGTAAATCATATGCAGGAAGGTACAACTAAAATAGCATGTGTTTGGTTCTATAAATCCCAGCTATGTGTGTGAGATCCTAACCAGGTGCTGTGGCTTATAGAGATATGTCAAACTCACAATCTGTTTTTCCTGATGACAGCCAAAACATCAGAATTCTGACCTAATCTGAACCGACTGAGCTCTGCTGCTGTTTGATTCCAAAGACCAACTAGAATTAAAATCAGAGATGGTCTTCTTTCTTTCATTTTAAAAATGAATAATCCTCTCTGGGTCTTAAAGTTGAATTAGTGAGTGTTTCTAAAAATTGCACTGGAGCTTTAAGAAAAGCTCTCAAATTAGCTTGATGATGCATCTGTCATTTTTAACCTATTACTTATTTCTTCATGATATCCAGGGGAGGAGGCAGAAAGGGAGTCCTCATGTTGTAGACTCATTCACACAACCAAATTGCCAATGACGACTTGTCAAAGCCCAGGCAAAGCCAGAACAAGAGTGTGGTCTCCTGGCCTTCACCTCTGAGCTCTTTAACATCCTTGAAACAAACTCGACCCATCACACTGACTGCATTTCCACACATGGAAGTACACTTTTTTTTTGGCTATTTTCATTTGTGTTCTCTATTCTCAAGCATATAATTTTACCAGGAGACACTGAAGACATTACCTTCAAGATTCCACAAATTCCACATTTTAGCAAAAAGCTCCCCTCGTGTTCTAGACTCAGGAGCACACCCATAAACAAGCCCTGACATTAAATGGCAGGCAAGGCCCATCTTACTTACAGGATGACAGAATCATGGCTGCCCTGTCGCCTGGGCACACACAGAAGCCTTGGTTCTTCAGCTGTGCTCCACTCACGGCAACACATCTTTCAACTGAAAGCGTGGTTGGCCTGTGACGTTTCTCGCAGCCAAAGTTTACCCCACCTATTTTCCTGTTCTGAAACCTCAAAGGAGTGTGTGAATGACAGCCCAGTGGCCTACATAAGTAAGTTCAGAACTCGGTATCCACATCTGAGGTGTTTGTTAGCACTTCCTTGTGCCTACATGTGTGGGTGTGTCTAGAAAACATTTTGAAGAAATTATAGAATTTTGGTAAAGGGGACCTTAAAAGTGATGAGGTCAAACTGTCCTCCCTGGGCAGAGACTAGATTAAAGGGACAGACAAGAAGGGGTTTTATTTGCCCAAGGGCTCACGTGGGACAGGGAGAATTGGATTCTAGGATTACAAATATTCAATCTAGAGTGTTTGGTCCAGGAACCTCATTTGAGATTAGGTGAGAATTGGTGTGGCACACACCTTTAATCCCAGCACTCAGGTGGCAGAGGTAGGTGGATCTCTGTGAGTTCAAAGCCAGCCTGGTCTACATAGAAAGTTCCAAGACAGCCAGGGCTACACAGAGAGACCCTGTCTCAAAAAAGACAATGATTCCCAAATGTTGTCAGTGCTGTTTTGTTTTCCCATAGGAAGTGTTTGTATGGGCTAGGGAAATGGCTCAGTGCATAAAGTGTTTGACACAGAAGTATATGGACCTGAGTCCAAGCCAGAAAGCTCACATAACTGACAAGTGGGTGCGGTATCCCACCAGTAAACCAAGTGAAAAGTGGAGACAGGTGATCCTAAGGGTAAACTGGCTAGCTAGGCTGGCCAAATTAGCCAGCTCTGAGTTCAACTGAGAGATTCCGCCTCACTACATAAGGTGGAAAACATAAGGAGGACATGTAACATCAGCCTCTGGGCTGTGTGTGCACACATGCACACACGGTACACACACAGACCCCACCCCACCCCAGACATACACGTGAGAAAAGAAAGAAGTATCTGAGACTGTTCACATAGGAACTATAACTTCTTTTCACTCTCCTAAGCACCAGCTACTTCCTCTCACAGCTCATCCAGGTGAAAGGAGAACATGGTGTGTGTGTGGGGGGGATGACTAGGCAGTGTGACTGAGGTAGTAAGGTATACCTGCCTATGACAGCTCCTTGAAGGAGGTACAATCCAGTCAAAACGTGCATATGGTTTTGTGATGCGGGGAGTTAGAAGGAATGTGGCAGATTGTGACAAGATTATTTTGCTTTTCCCCATTATAAAGGTTCAAGCAAGGAGCATGGCCTTCAATTTGGTGGGCACAGAAACCTGACAGAAAGGTGGTTCACAGAATCAGAGGGAAGAGGATCGCAGGGAAGCCAGCTCCTGCCTGTGTTCAGCAAATGCTCCAGTGTGGGAGAGATCACAGTAGCTCCCAAGGGACACTGACTTGTGAAGGAAAAGTCCTCACCATCCTCGGCTTTGGGGCTCACAAATACCCAGGGCACTGTGTTGAATAGTGAATGGTTTCTACTGGTGGCAGACCGGTTGTCTTTCCTCTGAAGCTCATGAAAAAGAAAACTGTGTGAGTGAGAAAGCCACTCAAACAAACTGGACAGCAGGGTCTAATGCAAGGCTGGGATGGACAGTCTCACTAATCCAGAGACCCAAGTCGGGTCAGGCTTCTTGAAAAACACACCGCAGCTCAGAACACCTTCTTTCTAATTCCCTTGCCAGCATCCTGGACCAACACAGGTAAGCTGCTCTGGGGACCTCCTGGTGTGTTGGGTACCCTTTGTTGGGCTCTGGCCCAGAGCCCAACACCTCAATCAGAGCATTCTTAAGACTTTCTAGGTAACTAATTCTGTCAGTGAAAGATCCACCTATCTCTAACAGCTCTGACTACCATGGTCAGGGTCAAAAGCACATCACAAGTCACTCTGTGGTTCAAGCTGGACAGACATGTATGTTGGTATGAGTCTACTTGTGAATCAGGCATTTAGCAGCTGAAGGACTCAAGCTTTCCTCTCTTCAGAAAGCAATATTTGATCCTTGGGGGAGATAGACTTGGCGGTTGTTAGAATTAGGACTAGACATTCTCTAACCCTAAAATTTTCAATTAAAGGTTGATATTTGTAAGTTCAATGACAGCCTGGTCTACATCGTGTCCCAAAAAACAAAAACAACACAAATTTCAACTAAAGAGGCAAACTCATGTTTCTTATAAATATATAACTTTATATATTATATGTATTTACAATATGTACAGTATACAGATTTTTAAATGTAATAGTAAGAACAGGTTTGGAAAGAGATGTTTTAAAAACAGAGGATTACCACTTATTTGGGTGGGTTCCTGTTTTACCTAGAACGTGGTTGTAGACCACACTTCAGGCCCGGGTTGATGTAGAAACCAAGGGCACAGAAGAGTTCCTGGAACATGGCTCTTCCCCCTCCCAAACATCTTGGCTTTTCTACTAGCACCAGCTAACATAGCCCCAGGTCCATCTCCAAAATGAGCAAACCCTGAGGCCTGGGCTCGGTGCCTGCTCCACTGTTGGCACTCGAGCTCTTGAAGGGATGAGCAAGTGAGTGATCCAAGCCACACGCTCCATGACACCATCTCTACACCCTACACAGCAGTCACAGAGCTGAGGCTGAACCAGAAACAAAGGCTTTGGAGTTCCCACATCGGAAGGAGAGCCATCTGTACTCCCGGGTGCCACGTGAACTACGTTCCTCACAGCATGCCATTTCTTCGTCTTGCCTTGGACACCATAGCCACCATCTATCTTCCAAAAGTTTCTTCACATTCAACCAGTTCATCTATCGTACGCAGCAAATCTTCAAACGAAGGCCTTCCCTCTGGTTTCTTCAAAAAGTCAGAGAGAAGCTGTGAGTTTCAGAACCCATTCTCAAGAAAACTGTCACGGCTCCAGTCCTGGGGAACACCGCGCAGACAAGACTCGGGGGTTGGGGAAACAGGCTGGCCTGTGTGCCCAACTTATCCCGTGGCTGCCAGACTCTTTTTTTATCCCATGCTTCCATGTCCCTGCTCAGGGACCTACTAGGGCTCCATAGTGTCTAAAAAAATCAGGTCTTACTCATTTGGAGAACCCTCTGTGACCTGCCCCTCCCCCATCATCTTGTCACCTAACCTCATTTCCCACAAAAAGCCTCACTCTGGCTCTCTGTTAAATCAGACTAAGCTTCACCCTCGGGTACACACACCGTGTTTACAACCAAATCGTCACCTTTGTTCATGTTGCTCTCTCTGCTACCGCTTCCTGCCCAGTCAGCCTCTGCCCACCCCAATCAGTGCTTGCGGGAGCTATCGCAGCAAAAGACAGGGAGCCTCAGCTTTGGTGCTGGATGGGCCTCTCGTGCTCTGCATAACTGGTCCTGGGCAAACATCACCCTTCCCTATCAATGGTTATAGTACTAGTGTCTATACGCTAAAGGGTTATTCTGAAAACTAACGCTACAGGACTCCATACACAATATATGTGAACTCCTGTCTTTCAAGGGTCTCTCTGGTGTTTGATCTCTCCTATGGAGGTGACATTTCAATGCTTCTAGAGATTAAGTAAGATACCCAGAGACACCGAGATCAAAGAACCCTTCTCTAGAAAGAGCTTCAAGCCCACAGCTATTGCACAGGAAGGGGAGGAGCAACTTCTCCAGGCTTATTCCCAAGCCCCCACCTCCACGCTGTGGAGGGGTTCCCACTTGGGAGTGAGGCATCAGCCTGAGTACGTTAAGCTAATGCTTAGCATTCTCCACCTCCTCAGCTTCTTCTCAATATTGAGAACCGAGACAAAGACTTGACTTCCTGCTGGAGCTTGAAATCCCTGTGCAGGAGGCAGGCCCTCACTCGCTGTGAGGACAGTATCGTCCCCATCCACTGGGTCAATCACTGGATGTTTTACAGATCATAAGAGAACACAAAGAAGCAGATACCTCCTGCCAACACCTCAGCATCACCTCATACAAATATTTGGACGCCAACTTCGGCCGGTGGAGTCGGTGGCCTCTAGTAACCATGGTTACCACTTCGTAATTGGTGTTCTTCTCAAAGGGCATCCTACCTTCTGTGAATACTTCCCACATTAGAACACCTACAGAACAATAAGGTTATTCAATAACATGTCTGCATCCTCCTCACAAGGCAGGGGAAGAGATGCACATCGTGGACCTTACCAAATGACCAGACGTCTGACTTGCTGCTAAAGCGGCTGTAATTAAACACTTCCGGGGGACACCACTTCACGGGGAACTTGGCACCAGAGGAACTTGTGTACTGATCATCCAGTACATACCTAGGGTGAGACACACCATGGGTTACCCCTTTGCACGTCAGACATGGGCGTTCATTTCCCCCTTACAAAGGCAAAACAAGACAGCATCTGAAGTCTACCATACACCTGGCTGAAGCGAAATGTTTGGCTCATGGCCTTCCCTGGTGATGTCTATCTCTTCAGCGTAAGTTAAGGGCATGGGCAGATAGCCTCACAACCCTAGTAAGTACACCTTCATTGTTCTGCTATTCATCTTTCTTTTTCCATGAAGCAGAAATATTACACAGCTGTTGCAAACTTTCAGGTGAGTGATTTTGTTCCCTGAACAAAATTTTACGCAAAGACCCTGTATGCAAAAGATCTAAACCAAGAACTGCATAGCGGAAGTGGTAACACGTGAGTAGCGGTCCCCAGGCTCTGAGCCCGCACAGCTCCACAGAGTGCAAATTAAAACTACAGCACATGAAAACAGGCGGAAAAAAAAATCAGAGGTGAAGACGAAGCATAAAAAGACAGTAAGTGTATTTATATACCATAACACCACCCATTCACACACATACTCGATGCTTTATTTCTTTTCTATATAGGTCCATCGAGAAAGAAACTCAGAAACTGTAACATTGACCACTCCCCGGGAGAATCCTTGATTAGCGATGACTGTGAGGACTTCAACACCTATTTATCAGAGGAGTTGGTTATGAATGCATTATGTATTTACGTAGAGTTAATTCTAAAGCTGCCATGTGCAAAGAGTCAAATGACTTCACAAACTTCCTCTTTTGGATGGTACAGATAAGATGCTATCAGGCAGACAGTGCCATCTTGGGCTGAGTCAAAGACTTGTCAGTCAGGTGAGTCTGAATTTAGCACCTAAAGAATAGTTTTACAAGGACTGGTATAAAGGTACCAACTTTCTTAAGAGAGACTATAAGAAAGCAGAGGGCTGCCTGTCAGGTGACAAACATCTTTACACACACAGCATGTAGAGAAGCCTGAGTAAAAGGGCTTTGAGGGCTGGAAGTTGCCAGTGACAGCACTCTGGCCTCCCTAGGTCAGCATCTTCTTGGGAGCAAGTCTTGGCCCCAGAGGACCCAGAACTTCTCTGCCTTGGTAACTGTTTTCAGATCTGCCTCTGGACCAACTGCCTGAGCTCTCTTCTGGCTCCCTAGGCTGTGACACAAGTCTCAGACTTCAGGCTGTACCACTCTTGCTTCTTTTATTTGGTGACTGTTCCCTGTGGTGTTCACTTAATGCTCCCAAGTGAGAAAAGTCTTTCTGGTCACCAGGTCTCCAGTGGCTACCTCCACCCTGCTCCCAATCCCAAGTCATCTCTTTTACAGAATCCAGCAGACTTTTCCTGAGAGGGATTTCAGATTCTGCAGGGCACACAGTCCCTGTCACAGCTCAAGGTTTTGCCTCTGCAGTGTGAAAGTGGCCACAGACAGCCATCAACAATTGGTGAACCCTGTGTGTCTCAAGGGCACTGGCCATCAACAATTGGTGAACCCTGTGTGTCTCAAGGGCACTGGCCATCAACAATTGGTGAACCCTGTGTGTCTCAAGGGCACTGGCCATCAACAATTGGTGAACCCTGTGTGTCTCAAGGGCACTATGGTTTTTTTTTTAATGAACAATGTCTTCGGTGTCAGATAATTCTCATATGTTTAAATATGCTTTTAGTTTCCTTTTCACTATCTTTTTAAGTGAAAAGGATGATTCATTGATTCACAGGATGGAGAAACAGACACAGATCGGACTGATGGGCCACTGTTTGCTGACCACACCCCTGCTGTCACAATCATTATCTCTAGGTCTGTGTTATCTCCTTTCTCGAGATTTAAGATACATGTGTGCAGGTCCTTCCGTTTAGTCTCCACTGTGGTCCACAGGGCTAGGCTTCTCACACAGGCAGAACCTGCTTTCTAATATATCCATGACTCAATGGACAGGGGAGAGAGGCAAAATGCTTCTGAAGAGTCTATTCTGACACTATTAAAGTTACAAAAATGAAGAGATTAAAAACATTGCAAACACGGTTATGCTAAGCACTGGATCACCGAACACAATCCAGAAGATGAGAGAGAGAGAGAAGCATTTAATAGGCTCTAGTACCATCTAGTGGAGAGAATTACTAACCCACAAAATATAGTTAGTCTCGTTAACCTCACAACAGTTGAAGAGATTTCCCCTTTGCTTTATTGATGCAAATTATCCCCACATTGATTTTTTAAAGGCATGGTCGCATGTAGCTGAGGCTGGCCTCAGATTTGGTATATAGCCCAGAATGACTTTGTATGCTTGTGAGGGGTATGGGTGCATATAGAGAACATAGGACAACCTTGGGTGATATGCTCAGGATGGTCTATCTACTTTGAGACAGGTTCTCTCGATGGATTAGCATTCACCAATTAACCCAGGCTGGCTAGCCAGAGCAGGGTCCCCCAGTCTCTGCCTCCCCGGTTCTGGGATTACAAGCATGCACCACTACTCCCAGACTTTTTCTTGGGTTCTGGTCAAACTCAGGTCCTCATGTTTAGGAGGCAAGCCGTTTACCTACTAAGCTATCTCCCAAGACCTTCCCATGTTTATTCAAAATAATGTGTCCCTCACTTAAGAGTCCATGGTACTCAGTCATACCTGGCCATTCCAAAATCAGATACCTTCACAACTCTGGCTTCATTCACTAGACAATTTCTGGCAGCCTGGAAAAAAAAACATTATGGTGTTAAATTTATTAGAAAGTCCTTTAATAAAGGAAAAAAAGAAGCTCAGTTTCTAGTAAATATAACAAAGATAACACCAGAAAAGATGTAAGTGTGTTGTGGAATATTAAAGATGTTCTACACTTGTTTATGCTGTGTCATATTTGCTTAATGATGCAAACATGTGTTGTATTCTTTTATGTTACATGTGTTTAGCTCTGTAAAGATGTGTTACTTTGCCTGTCTAAAACACATCGGTCTAATAAAGAGTTGAATGGCTGATAGCTAGATAGGAGAGAGAAACAGGAGGGGTTGGAGGGCAGAGAGAACACATAGGAGAAATTTAGGGAAGAGAGGAGCGGAAAAAAAGGAGGAGAGGAAGATGTCAGGGGCTAGCCACCCAGCCACACCGGCAGCTACAGATTAAGAAGGAAAGAAAAACATATAGAATAAATGAAGGTAAAAGCCAAGAGGCAAAATGTAGTTAAAGAGAAACTGGATAATTTAACTAGAAAAGTTGGCTAGAAACAAGCCAAGCTAAGGCCAGGCATTCATAAGTAAGAATGTCACCATGCATTTATTCCAGAGCTGGGTGGCAGACCCTCAAAGAATTAAAAAACAAAAACAACTACATAAATGTGTCCATATAAATTGTTTGCATCCCAATAGACGTTACTTCCAACATGAATCTGAAACATTGTGGAGAAATAAAGATTAGAAATGCCACAAGATATTACAACACTGTCTTTAACATCACACTTAAGAAAGACCAATGGACATTTCAACCTTCTTCCCTGACCAGGTGTATTGTTTATAGACTGTGATTTTTCTCACCAGTAGTGACAATACCTCCTGAAGTCTAATCTAGATTAAAGATGACTTCTCTTTAGGTAACAGTAGAAACACACAGAAATCAAAGTGACAAGTAATCTGAGAGTGTTCATCTCAACAGTCAAAAGAAAGGCTCCTGTGCAAACACAGGATTTGTTTACCATGTATGAGTTTCTAATATAGTAAGACATGGTATACTCAGCTGGTAAGACACAAACACATTTTTTGGGTTTTGCTCTATTCAAAGTTATGTGATTGCATAAAATAATTTGGTAGAATTACACTGTACTTCTCGGAAGCAGGATCTGATATTAACATCACAGCCCATGGGATGAAGTATAGTGTTCTCCCTGACTCTTCGGATGCTTTTTTGTTTTTTCTGCATGGCAATTCCTATTACAGATCTTCTGAGCATATTTCAGAGCCTCTTCTCAAGAGAGTGTTAGTGCCCATTTTCTAAATCACCTGCACTCTCCCACGGGGACAACCACAGTGCTGCCACTCACAAGCCTGTAAAATTATTTTTCTCAGGAGATAGGCACATCAGACTCTTCCTTTAAAGTGTGCTAAAACCTCCAGAGTTTAATATCAGGCCCCCCAACATCAAATTTCCATTTCAAGAAAATAAATTCTATGCAGACAAGTGCAAGACTGAAGGTGTTCAGTCTGTATCTGTTTTGTGAGATCAAAAACAAGGACGGCGCCTAATTCGTAGTTTCAATATGACAATTAGCCTTTGTCACTGCTACACATTCATCAAAACCAATGATGTATGTCACGCCTACTTTACAGAGCCCTTTGCCTCAATTATATGCTGTGATCTCTAAAATAGTGTAGTAAGCAAAGCAATGATGTACAAATTGCAAATCCAATTTACAAACTGGATAAGGAACTAGCCCATAACACACCTAGGAGATCAAGTCTTCCATTGCCAAATCCTCAATTCTTTATTATGATTTAAATCTAGAGGCTAGCATAGCAGCTAGAGCACTGATCCTAGATGCAAACTTTCCGGGTTCAAATCCTGTCTCCATCATTTCCCTGACTGCTGATAATATTTTATCCAGTTCTACTCATTTCTTTTGTCTGTATAATGGAAACAAGAATAACATTCCTATGGTTGTTACCATGGCCAAACGAGTTTGTGTTTATACAGTACAAAAGCAATGCCTGTATCAGGTGATGTTAAAACAAAATGCCTTGTTCCTGCTCTGAATAAGTGGATCCACAATTATTCAGATCCACACTTAGCTAAAACTAAGGTGGGGAGGGGGCAAAGCAAGGCCTCTCAGTTTCGGTAGAAGAACCAAGGAAGGCGCTATTTTCTACTGAAAACAGTGGCATTTGTGAATGGCTGGGGAGGGAAAACAGAAGGGAGAGTAGAGTGATGGAGGGGGAAGGAGGGAACTGAGAAGTGCCCCCACCTCAGTCATACAGAACAGGGTTTCTTGTTTTCCTGATATTTCCAGAAGCAATGAAAACTCCTGGAATTCCCTCTTAGTTGAGAGATATGGACATGAGCTCAGGACTTCTCTGGTAGTTTCTGTTCACTGTGTGTATGGTGGGAAAGAGCCTGAGAGCTGGTCAGAAGGTCAGGGCTAAGCCTAACTTCCCCACTTCTCACAATAGACAGGCCACGTTCACTTCTCCAAAGCTAACATCCTTATCTATAACACAGTGACACGGAATAAATCTGCTAGGACTAGCTGTCTCCTGGGAATCTCCCAGAGCCCAAACAACTAATTCATGGAAACTTGCTTGGAGATATTAAGTATAAAGGTCTTTTCCTTTAAAATTATCAAGTGATTGAAATTTACCAAAACAGGGGACTAATACAACACAGCTCACTGGCCAAGCTAGTGTGACAAAAGAATCCAGCCAGTGAGTGGTAAGCCACGGGGAGTGGGAGGGAGAGTGGGAGGCCGGGGGACCGTGGTTACCAGGTCTCTGTGGATGAAGCTGTTTCTCTCCAGGTACTCCATCCCTTCGCACACATCCTGACACATGCTCAGCAGCACATCCCTACTGAAATGGCCTTGTCTCTGTCGGAGGAAATTCAGAAGGCAGCCCCGTTCCATGAACTCGGTAACGATGTAGATGGGTTTCTGCTGGGTGCATACGCCATAGAGCTGCACCAGCTTGGGGTGTGTGAGCTTCCTGGGAACACAGACAGACACGCAGAGAGTTACCACAGGAAAAGAAACCAGCAGGCCTACCTGCCGGGGGGGGGCCAATTTTTAATACTTAGGGGGGACCTGGTAGAAGCTAGAAACTTACATCACGTGGGACCAGAGAGATAGCTCAGTGGTTAAGAGCACTGGTTGCTCTTCCAGAGGACCTGAGTTCGATCCCCAACACTCACATGATGGCTCACAACCATCTTTAACTCCAGGGGTATATATATGATGCCCACTTCTGGCCTCTGTAAGCACTGTATGCACATGGTAACCAGAAATACACGCAGGAAAAACACCGTACACATAATAATAATAATAGTAGCCGGGAGTTGGTGGCGCATGCCTTTAATCCCAGCACGCAGGAGGTAGAGGCAGGCGGATCTCTGTGAGTTCAAGGCCAGCCTGGTCTACAGAGCGAGTTCCAGGATAGCCTCCAAAACAATACAGAGAAACCCTGTCTCGAAAAACCAAAGTAATAATAATAGTAATAGGAAGAAACTTACATCATGACCTTAGCTTCCTCTATAAAATCCTCCTCACACATGGCACCTTCCCGAATGGCTTTAATGGCCACTTTGTACTGCGCTCGCCATTTTCCAAGCCTCACCACTCCAAACAGCCCACTGCCCAACTCCCTCATAAAAGTCAGCTCTGAGGGGTTGATCTCCCACTTCTCTGTAAGAGAGATGAGAAAAGGAAACCTTTTAAAAGAAGAGCAGTGTAAGTCGGTGGGGAAAAGGAATGTTCCAAGCAAGACCAACCCCACAGTCCTGAATAACACAGTAGGAATTACCAGAGACACAGAACAGAGGTGTGGTGCAGCCTGTTTCGAGACACCCAGACTGCACCGCCAGCAAGAACCATGGCAGTGACTGTTTTAGCAGTGACATATTTAGTTTTTATCTATGGGAAGTTTTTTTTATATATAAATAATGATGAAAACAGAAAATCTAGTGTTACTATAAGGTATAATCATCTAAAAGCCCACTCTATCAAGGCACTAAAAACAGTTAGATAACTTGCACCCAGGAAATTCTTTTGCTAAAACCACAGATTCCTCTCTTGGGCCCACAGGAGGACTCAAGCAGGATTAAAGCCTGGCATTTCTGCCTTCGTTAGCATCTGTCTCGTTTACTTCTGGTCACATGCATGTGCAAAGAGCATCTGTCTAAAACCTGGTGACAGCAAACGTACCTTCTCCCCTTGATGGATGAAGGTGCAAAGACAGAGGAGCTGAGGCATCTTAAAGATCTCACAACATCCTCTTCTGGATGCTCAAAAGACACTAAGTGCCTCCAAGAGTTGCTGGAAGCCACTTCTGACTCCAGGAATAGCAGCACCTCCCAGGGCAGACCACCATCAGGTTCAGGTACAGTGAGTTATTCATGACGGCAAGGCTGCACCCTGAAGCAGTAGCAACCAGCTCCAGAGAACCAGCTTGTCCCCTCAAGCAATAAAGACTTCTTCTGACCACCTTGTAGGACCAGATCTCAGATAATTATCAGCCAGGCCACACTTGGACCAAGACTGCTCAGTTACACCTGCTGTCTACCCTGCCCCAATCCGTTCTCTGTTGGAGCCTTTAACGAGATACCTTCAGTTCCTTTTCCTGACACACAGCGGTCAAACCTCCTCTCTCTGCTTTTCACCACTCCTCGTCCATTGGTTGGCTTTGGAAGACAGGTGGTCAAGCCTAGGCTGTTGGGGCTGCCAGGGCCTGGGCTTTCTCTCTAGAACTCTGGCTACAGTGTGTGTGATCCCCTTCCCCATTCCCGGGGTGGGGGGGAGGATGGATTTCACACTTCTACATTCATACTGTAAAGGTGAGTTCTTTTCAAGGGAAACTTGCCAATGCAACTACAGAATGAGAGTTACCATAGCTGAAGCCTGCAGTAGTTGGTGCATTCTTCCCCTTGGTGCTAACCGGGTACCGCAGTCTGGTGACAAGCCCTAAAAAGTGAAGACACCATTGTAGTTAATTTTATCTTAACTATTCCACTCAGTCAAGTGCTAAACAAGAAGCGGGTAGGAAAAACTCGTTCACTTATTTCAGCCTCTTCCTCTTCATATACACACAGCACTGCAGAGTATGTTTTCAGCCACTCTACACATTGCCTTCTAAATACAGTGTTTATCTGGCACAAGGTTAGCTTCCTCTCTCCTCTAACACTCGAAGGATAGTAAAACATTTCCAGTGCTTATCACCAGTGAGTTCATGATCTTCTCCAACATGAGATCTGAACTATGAAAGAGAATTTTATTAGTGTGCTAAAAGTTAAAGTGATTCATCTGATATAACTCAGTGTTTGTGACTATAGCATTAAAATCATGCTCTGGGGTATAAGCAACAGGGACTACCAACCACTGGAAATCAGAGAGGAAAGTCAAATCTTAAAGACCCCAAAGAAGAAACAGGAACCCTCTTCCAGGAACACGTGTATAGGTCTGTAATTCTGATACAGCACTTTTCTCATCATAATTTAAAAAATGCATATGCTTCTGGATTGACGACCAACAAATGTCCACTATACCCTCCTCAAAAGATGGTTTGCGTTCTTGCACAAAGAAGGCACTAAATACATGTCAGTTAAGCAAAGTAAGATAATGGCAAGAAATAGAGAAAGGAGTATAATAAAATTGAAAATAAAATAACAAGGTTATGAAAAATTTTGGGGGGAGAAAACTGTAAGAATTAACTGCTCAAGCTGATTTTTTTTGTTTGTCTCTTTGTTGGTCTTGTTTTATTTTGTTGGTTTTTCAAAGCAGGGTTCTCTGACTGTCCTGAAACTTAATCTATGGACCAGCTACTTCAAACTCACAGATTCTCTCAGCCTCTGCCTCCCAAGGGCTGGGATTAAAGGCGTATGACAGCATGGCATAACTGGTCAAGTAATGAGCACAATTACAGAATGACCCTACAAGCTCCCTTGTAGACAAGTACCCCCAAAGAATCAAAACTCTGTTTCTATGCAAACACATAAATACAACTGAAAAAATTCAAAATGTGGAAACGAGCCAAATGTCCACACAATGGATTGTTATCTGTCAATAAAAAGGAATAGAAACTTTCTCTGGCTAACTGCCTGAGAATTTCAGCTTCCTCAGGATTTCTTTTCTGGAACATGTCAGACTTGAGCAGAACACACTAAGAATATGGTCAGTGAATCCATAATAGAAAAAAACTGAAACACACAAAGCAAACAAAAAAATCCTGGGGATCTACACTGTCCAGAATCCCCATAGCTTTTCCCCTGGTATCATCAAGTCTGGAGGCTGTTCATATTCAGGCTACATCTTGGCTTCCACAAACAGATGAAGGAGAAATTTTGTCAAGGTAAGTGTGTTAAGATAGCTTTCAAGATTGAGAATTAGAGGGCTAATTGTCAACCTTGCCATTTAGCAATATTACACTGACACTGGAAGTAATTTAAGAATTAAACACAGACTTATAACTTGACCTGGGAACCTAACAATTGTGCAAATATTATGCATAACGCTGCATAATCATTTATACAACATACTGTATAGTTCTCATGTATCAGGCCTTGATCATTTTTATCTTTTCTGATTATTTCAACAAGGAATACACAATACAACATGGACAAATGTAAAAATACTACAATGCACCAAAACAAAAACCAAAAAGAGCCCAGCCACAGTATAAATGTATGAGTCTATTTCTATGAACTGTTCAGAACAGACAAATCTACTAAGACAGAAAGTGGGTTAGTGGTTGCCTAGGGCTGGGCTGGAGAAGGAGGGGCATAGGTGACTGCTAATGGGAACAAGATTTCTTTGGGGGATGATGACAGTGTTCAAGAAATTAGATTACAGTGATGTGATTGGTGGTACACTGTAAATACTCTGAAAGCCACTGAACCCTGTATTGTAAGTGCATGAATTCCATAGTGTGTAACTTACATCTTAATAATTCTTCCTATCATCTGAAAAATAGTAAATGGCCTCACAGAACAGCAACACAGTTCGTAAAGAGACCCTCTAATTAACTCAAGTAAGTTTTTCACAAGTAGAATTAAGCGTCTGGCTATTGAATACCCTACTTGCTTGTACCTTTAAAATAAAACATGCTGAAAACCTTCTGTGGAAACCTTATTTTTTCTTGCTGTTTGTTTGATGTTGAGTGTAACACAGATTCAAGCTGCCGAAAAGAACCTGTGTGCCAGGATGTCGATCCTCTGCAGTCTTCAGAGGTTCACCTTACAGTTTTTCAACTTCAGTATGGTGCCAAAGTAATATGCACTCCAAGAAAACCATCCTTTTTGAATCTAGACCTTTTCTGGGAATAGTGACTTTTGTTTGCTCCTGGGCTAGTGTTGTAAGATAGGATACATTCCAGTTGTGTAGGTGTAATGAGACATCACTCCCAGACAGTCACATAACCACGAGGGTCACCCGCTGGTACTCTTCAGAGTGCCATGTCACAAAGCCAGGATGCTCAGTAGATTAGCTGCACTAAGTACACCTTCTACTCAGTGCATTTTCAACTTCGGATGGTTTCATCTTGACCTAATCCCACTAGATGTTGAGAAGCATCCACACTCTGTTCCTTGGAAACTTTCAGCATAAACTGAAACCCTGTCTCATCCGAAATCTTCTATGACCACTCTGCACACATCGTCCACGTTTATTTGTTGTGATGAGGAACTTCCTTATATTGCCCAGACTGGCCTTGAATTCTCTGACTCAAGTGACCTCCAATCTCAGCCTTCTGGGTTGCTCACAAAGTAGGCACATAAAGAGGAATTTTTGTTCAGTGCCAAGGCTATGAGGTTTGAATTTCCACATACATTAAAGACCTTGACTCCTGTGATGGAAATGGCATTTCTATGAAATCTGATACCTTCAGGTTTTTCTCTGGATCTAGAATATTCTTAATATGTAATAGTTTTTACATCAGCAACACTTTACAGGTAACTACCAGAACCTACCTTCTGAAGAGTCCATCCCAATATCTGATCATGTAGTTACTAGTGCTCAAGAGTCTCCACAGCTCACTCACCTGCTGCGTTGTGCTTATGATATTCAATGATCTCAGGAATTGACCCAAAAGCATGCTTTTCTGCTAGGTAATACTTCTTTGGAGATGTTGCTGTTTCCTTTATGTGATAGTGCCTGAAACCTGATGAACCTTCTCTATTAAAAAAAAAGACAGAACAAAACACTGTATTGCAACCAGGTTGAGATAATGGAACTTAACTCACAGATGCTATCTACAGGCCAACCTTGTTATGACTTCTTTCTCCTGGCTCCTTCTATTCCTGACACAAATATTAGTTTTGCCATGCTTCGGCTTTTCGACTCACATCAACGGGTGAAAGTCTTGAAAGTGATCACAATAATAAACTTGACTGAGCTGGGGGGTGGTGGCGCACGCCTTTAATCCCAGCACTCGGGAGGCAGAGGCAGGCGGATCTCTGTGAGTTCGAGGCAAGGCTGGACCGACAGCCTCCAAAACAATACAGAGAAACCCTGTCTCATAAAAACCAAAAAATAAAAAATAAATAAACTTGACTGCTTGCATGGAAATGAAAACAAGAATATTTCCCATCTCCAGCCAGTGGCAGTGGAATTTTAATTTACTGTTAGTTTCTGTTCCACTGTGACATAGACCTGCAATGCCTAGAACGCTCTCCCTTCTCAAAGGGAATGGACTAGACTTAAGAATATTTGCATTCTATTGTGGATATCTTTCTGGAATACAGATCTCTAGTCATCTCATGCTTTAAATTCGAGACGGTTCATAATTGCTCTTCGGGTAGAGCTGGAGCTCCCTTGCATGACCCCGGAGTCTGCTCCCACCTCTCGGGTGCCTCTCCTTCCCCTCTCCCTGCGGTCTCTGCCATTCTACATCCACTGCAGACATTCCTCGTGTTCCCCTGACCTCACTGTCACCTCTCTCACTGCTGAGTCAGCAGCTCTCCCTTCTCTCAAGTTCTTCCTGTCTTGCTGTAAGGTATCAGCTTAGATGTCACTTAAGAATGGCTGAAAGGTGTCTTGACTGCCTGTCTGTGGCCCTTATTAAGCTACTAAAGTCTACTCTACTCAATGTAGATTCCTTTGTGCGTAGCTCACAGCACAGAAGTTATCCAATAAATGCTACTAAATCTCCCATAGCTATTCCCAACAAATATGTATATATATATATATATATATTTATATATAAGAAACTATAGGGAAATTTTCTGGAAAAAATACAAAAGATAGCCAGGTTTTAGAAATGAAGATTAATTTTTTTCCTAATGCTGAAATGGAGTATCTTACTTTGAAAATTAGGAACACATACAAGCAATATAGGGCATTCATATAAAACTCGGAATTAAAAAATATGGGGCTTAAGAAAATAGTTCAGCAGATAACATGCCTGCTATGAAAGTATAAGGACATGAGTTTGTATTCCCAGGACTTCTGTAAAAGCTAGATGTGCTGGCATACTCCCATAACCGCAGTGTTGGCACAGGGCTGAGGGATGGGAGAGACAGACTGATCGCAAAAGCTCATTGGCCAGCTAGTCTGGCCAGCTGGTGAAATCCAGGCACAGTGAGAGACCCTGTGCCAAAAACTAAAATAAATAAGGTGGGGAAACCATTGAGGAAAATATCTGGAAGTCAATCTCTTGTCTTAACATGCACGGGTGAGCACCCCTGCACCCACGCATTCATAACATGCACATGCCACACACCCCCATACCCCAAGCATGCAATGAATAAAAAAGCAACAACTAAAAACTAGAGCATAACTACTTACCCCCCAAACTTTGTATAAAGGGAGACTGTGTACAAGCCTGGTTGACTGGAGTCTCTCACCATAAAACCACCTTCTTTATCCTAAAAAAAATCCAAATTAAGACATTCCTTTTTAAAATCCCAGTTACTAATGGTGTGGCAAAGACTCAAGGGTTTAATCTTATCATTCGATTATCATCCTCCGTGCAGAAAATCTGCTGTCAACAGGAGCAGCATAAAAATAGAGCCTCTTAGTCTTCCCACCCACATGACTTTCTGCCTCAAACTCAGGGGCTATGAGGTGACAGGAGGCACACTCACATTTCTCAACTGCAACACGTCATACATACTGAAGCCTGCAGCTAGAGTGTCTTAGGGCTTTGGGAGAGCCACCAGGCAGGCACCACTGTGCTGTAAGCCCTGGGCTTGTGAAAACAATCATTGAGAATCTCTTTTGGGTTCCCAGTTCATAGCGTCCTCACACGTGGTAGGAGCTTTCAGTTGCTCTCAGTGTCAATTCCTACCCACATAGACTTTCTCCTGTAAATACCTCAGTGCTCTTTGCAAGAATGTGTTACCCTCGATTCCCCTGCAGTTCAGTGTCAAGTATCACCATAGAGGAGACACAGAGTAACTCCAACAGAGATTCAAAACACAAAAGCAACGTTGAGTGAGAGATGGTTAAATTCTCATCAGATTCCCAGTTGAAGGGCAAGAAACAGAAGCTCCATATCTTAGAGACTTCCCTACCAACATCTTTAGGATTTACATTGCTTTAAGATGAAAAATGTGTTTCATAGTTGAAAAGTAACTTTTATTCTTTTTGTTTGTTTGTGTTTTGTTTTGTTTTTTGAGACAGGGTTTCCCTGTGTAGCTTTTGGAGCCTATCCTGGTACTCACTCTGTAGACCAGGCTGGCCTCAAACTCACAGAGATCCACCTGCCTCTGCCTCCAAAGTGCTGGTATTAAAGGCATGCACCACCAATGCCCAGCTAACTTTTATTCTTATTTATAAGATAGTGGAATTAAGTAAGGCTGCACAAGCCTACTGGTAACAATTAGAGATAGTAATTACAATCATTATTTCATTGGCAAAAAATTTTAATACAAGTCACCATTTTGAAAATCAATTCTTTTTAAACGTGTTCTCATATGCAAATGTATTTAATACTCAGATAGTCATTTAAGTAATAGTCTTGTTTTTCTTCTTTTATCTTACAGGTAAGGAAAGGGGACATAAACAGATGAGACAACTTTCCCGAGGTCACCTGGCCAGTAAATTTGAAGGCCACGCTGCCAAGGTACTGAGAACCCTCTAGCTGTCTAGGTGTGTGGTCTCTGGGAAGCCAGTAAGGATCCTGAGGGAGGGGAATGAGCCTTGTCGTATAAACATACTCAGTACTCAGCAAGGTCTTGGTGTAACACCCTGAAGAGACAATGCCTTGAACTATCGCTAAGTAAAACAACTAGAATGCAAACGTGGGAGCTGCAGACCTTGACTTCTAAACCCACTTTCCTACCTTACAGTTGCCCCCAAAAAATAACTAAAACTGTTCTAGAGCACGCGAGTTTCTCTCAGCTCAGCACAAATTTCCTCTTTGTATACATTGCCTTTTCCTCTAATTTCATTTTAAGTCATTGTGACTATTACTATTAAGTTTTAATTTACAAAATATATTACATAACATTAATGTAAACTATTCTAAAACATAACTTCAAGCAAAAAGGAAGACACATTGGAGTCTTAAAATCAAAGCAGTAAGTGATAAACCATGAGGAAAGGTGGGGGGGGGTGTTCAGTGGCGGACGCTCCTCACGAGGCAGATGGCAAGGTGTCCATCCACATTCTTCTGCACGCCAAAGAGTCTAAGCTTCAGAATGTGAGCGTATTCTGGCAGAAGGCTTTACACAGGTCATTAAACTAAAATGAAGTCATCAAGGTGGCTCTAGTTCAGTATGACTGGTACCTTACTAAGAGAGAAGATACAGACAGACAGACGTACATGCGTGGAGGAAGATGAAGATACGGGGAAGAAGGCCCTCCCCTCACAGCCCCAGAAGGAACCAATGCTACTGACCATGACTTTGGTCTGTAAGTCTCCATAACTATGAAGTGATGTGGTTCTGACATTTGAGTCACTCAGTTTGTCTCTTCGTTACAATGTACTAACACTCCAATACTGTCTTCTAAGAGATGTGGAAGACAGCTTGTGTTTCTATCACAGCCCCTCCAGACTTTAGGAGTAAGTACAGAAAACCATTCGTGAAGGATTTGTTAATCTGAAGACAAGCACTTACTTCAGTCCTGAGGAGTTGCTCGGCTTGGCTTCTGTTGGTATTTCTGCAATACCATCTGATCAGAAAGAGATGCTTATCAGATTTTGAAAATTATTTCTCATTCTTAGTCTGACTGACAAGCTAACACAGCTTATCAAAACCATGGTAAGACATCACCGACATTCTCAACAACTATAAGACATTTTCATGTACATGTCTCCAGCCTTCTCCTCCTCTGCTAAAAGGAATCATACTTGAATGGCATAGGCCGAATTTGCCAATCAATACAAGCTCTATGTATGTAGACAGAGAGGTGCCATATTTGCCTGTTCTTGTCATTCAACACAACAAATCATTTCCAGTGACCACACATCCTGCAAGGACGAATTTCACTCCAATGATTAACACAGGCAGGAAATGCCACTTTACATTACTGACTTTAATTCAGACCAAATCTTATTCCAGTCCCCATCTCATCAGCATGGCAGATCATCAGGTCACTGTGGTACCCGTTCACTGAATTTCATGTAGATCTCAAGTCAAGAAATAAGGGACAACGCTGAAAAAGAGGCCACCCGGGTGTTCCAGACTTTCTGACGTCCAGCACACCTAGACCCTATGGCCACCCTCATCTGCACATCGGTTCTGTGCCTTGTCTGAGCACCCACCCTACCTCCCCACCTGGTCCAGACCCTGAGGCCCAGCAGATCTGCCCCCCTTTTTTTGTTTTTTTGAAACAGGGTTTCTCTGCATAGTTTTGGAGGCTATCCTGAACTCACTGTAGACCAGGCTGGCCTCGAACTCACAGAGATCTGCCTCCCGAGTGCTGGGATTAAAGGTGTAAGCCACCAACGCCCAGCGATCTACCCCTTCTTGACCTTTGAGAAGGCTCCCCATTGTGTATTGCCATCTTCTTTCTGATCCCCAGAGACAGTCTACCCTTTGAGCTCCCCCCAGGTTCATCCTTCCATGTGACTAGAAACAAGACTAGCTTTCTCTGCCCTTCAATTTTAAATTTGTCTTGCTGAGTGTTTTTTTTTTTAGTTGACAATGAATCCTCCATCATTGTCAAATACCTAAAAATTACAAATGGCCTAAAGCTCCTGGGGCCTCTTTGGGCATCTGAATTTCCCACTAGTGTCTCAGCCTATTCATAAAAGGCCTGGCTGTGTAGTATTTTTCTCTGAGATCAAAACGTCCCATCATGCAGGCAGCTCCTTTACACAGAAGGCAAACAAGTCAAAATAGCTTCAGGAAGTCCCTCGAACTGACAAGATTCGCTGATCCCCCTTCCTCCCCAAGAACAAACAGTAAAGACTGCTGAGAGTCCTTCTCAGACAAGACAAGTTGCAGAGGACTGTCAGATAAGTTGCCCAGCTGCCAGGAAGAAGCAGAAACCAGCCACGCTGTTTAGAAGAGATCCATGGAGTCACCTGGAAAGGACACTCTCCAACCTGCTGAGCTGCCTGCAGACTGAGCAGTGTGCTCCAGGTTCCCAGCTCTTCTGAGCTGTCACCTGGCTGGGCCTTGGTGATGCTGCTGTCTTTGAGTCATTTCTGCTTCTGTAAGTAATCCCTCACCCATAATCCTGTAAGTCACAGCAATGAAACGCATTGGTTCACCAAGTTGGACTTTGATCTGTTGTTAGCTGAGTAGGGGTGTGTATTGCTTCTGTGTGTGTGTGTGTGTGTGTGTGTGTGTGTGTGTGTGTGTGTGTGTGTGTGTTTTGCTTCTCACCATGAAGAAGTCTGTCACACAACAGGCCTCTCATCCCAGACACCCTGGACAAGAAAATACAAGGGCTCCCCCTGATTGAGAAGGCAAAATCACAACCAGCAAAATACAAGACAAGAAAACGTGTCTGTCATCCAAATGTTTTTAGAAAGCAGCTGAATGCCTGGTGAAGTTGCAATGCACTGCAATGATATCAGAGCTCGAAATGATGAACCAGGCCTGGGAGTGAACAAGGCGTCCATCACACCTTATGAAATGAGGCCACGTTCAACAAAACTGCCATTATGATCAGTCCATTCCATTATGATCAATTCATCTCTGAATGCAACTGAACTGAAAGATAGTGACAAATTAGAATAGATACAATCTGTTGCTAAAGTGTTTCTATTGGTATAAGAAATATTTATCAGATACCCAAAACCGTCACAAAAATCAGTCAAGAAAAGGTATTTCATACACTACGAACTAGCAAGATGTTTGAGATTGAAAACTTTGACGTGTCAACAAAACAGAAGATCCAGTTTCACATCTTCAAGGTGAGAGCAAGAGATGCAAGGTTCAGATGCAGAAAACTGGGAGAGCTACACTGTGGCTTTAGGATGACAATAAGATACCCAGAACAACAAAGAGGCCCCTTCCTCACAGTCTAAACTCCAGACCCTGGGAAAGGATACAGGAAACTATAGAGTTAAGGAATCTGTGGTACAAGAAACAGCTCCTTGAGACCTGTTCTAATGAGTTGTTTATACAGTTTATACATATCTTCCCATCTTCCGAACACACCATCGTTTCTACCCAGAGTGTGCCATGGCTTGTGTATTAGCAGCTTGGCGGCCAGAGTGGCACTATGGGGAGGCTGTGGAACCTTTCACCAACAGGACCTCACAGAAAGTCCTTATGCCATAAGGGCACACCTCTGAAGGGGACTGGAGCACCCCTGACCCTTCCTCTCGGCTTTCAGGTTCTGATGCAAGCAGGTTTGTTCTAGTGTATCCCATCACCATGATTTCTTTCTCGCAACAGGGCTAAAACAATAGCATCAACACATCATGGTGCAGAAACTCCAAAACTGCAAGTCAAAGTAAAAGCTTTCTCTTTACGAGGTATTTTGTTACGGTGATGTGCAACTGAATAATATAAGACACAAACCCCAGACCCTTTAGGGTCTGTTGAGTGATAAACAAATAGATGAATTAACTGTTGATAGTTATTTTGTAGCAGAAGCTCTTCCCAGCTTCTCTCTCTCTCTCTCTCTCTCTCTCTCTCTCTCTCTCTCTCTCTCTCTCTCTCTCTGATGAATTCATCCTGTCAGGATGTAGGACACACACATAAAAAACCCTGCAGGATATAAGGAGACAGAGATGCCAGCACACAACTCCATAAGGTGTGGAGACACCTCACTAGAGTTTAATACCTTTTGCTGAAGGAAAGCTACATTTGGAAACAATACCCAAGATTCATGGGTAATTTGTTATCCTTTTCGAAGGTACCAATACTCCAGAATGAATTCATTTTTCAAATTGGCTAGCTACCTCACAACCTTCCTGAGGAAAGGGACGTTACAGCAGTGTCTGAAGGCCAGGGAAGAGGAGAAGGTTTGAGGACACCTAGTCTTCTGCAAATGTCAGACTATGACCAAGTTTCTTGGGGGAGGACGGGTAATAAAGAGTAAATCAAGAAAAAAAGACCTGACAGAGAAACACAACCAACCAACCATGTGTACATCTTTGTCTTTTCTCTATTCTGTCCCTGCTTGCTAGGCCCACTCGGAGCTGTTGCTACACACTGCTGCTCCTGCCATTTCATTTTGGCTACCTTATTCCTTTAACATCTTTCACTCAAGAACACCTCCCTCTGATCATCCTAATGACTTTCCCTATTTTTTTCCCTTATGGGGATTTTTCTGAACCTCTGGTATTCAAACTGTTGGCAGAGTGTAGAGGTCAAACTAGGTTTCTGACAATCCTGGTAGTCCTGGGTCTGACCCAAGGGTAGCTGCAGCTTGGGATTCCTAGTTGGCCCAAACAAACAGAAAAATAGTTGGTTCAACATCCATGAGGCAGTGGAAGATGTGTTACTAATGGGCTGTCCTAACCCTTGCCCCCCCAAAAAAAAAACAAACCAAGCAGAGCATAGGGAGGAGAAAAGCAGGAGATGGGAACTCTGCCTGCTTACCTTGAGGTCAGTCTTCAGCTTCCCTGCCTGGCCTAATGCAAACTAGAATCCCTGTCCCTAACACAGAATTCTGAAAATTTCTTCAGAGATACATTTCCAAGTGACAATATAACCAAAACACTCGTGTCCTAGTTACAAACTCCAGGGTTAAAAATCCTTATTTCACAACCCGTGAGTCATAAGGAGTCTTCATAGTTACAGCAGGATTATCTTGTTTCCATGAACCAAACTGTCAGTTAGTTCTTGGTCCCATCATTTCAAATCAGTCAAGTTTGAGCCTTTGGGCATCTTTCCTGTTTCTAAGAAATTCATTATATTTTCCTAAGATACATTTAAAAGCCAAACCACCATATTGCACACAATTATCTGTGACAATAAGGAACCCTCAGAGGAATACATGGTCAGGCAACTGTTGTTGAGGAAGCCTCTCAGAGTACACTTAAAAAACCATATAGACCACATGTCCTTGGTAACCGCATCATCTACTACCCATCCTCCAACCCCCCAGACTACTTGAAGCAGGCATCAGCTCTAGCGCACTATGCTACAAACTCACACAGCAAGTGACTACACAAATAGTATGGACTACTAGAGCACAATGGTAAGAATTTGTGTATCTGCGCACAGAGAAGAATATTAGGCAATAATGGAAGTTCTTCAGCTCCATCACAGTCCTACAGAAAGAATGTCAAGCACACAGTCTGCTTTGGTAAAATGAGCTACATAGTACGTAATTGTAAACCATCTACATTTCCACTTCTGACGTCACTTTAAGGGATCAGGCCACTGATGCTGGAACTTCTAGACCCTGTTGGTCTTCTTCTAGATGTTGAGGTATGCTCATGTCATCACAGTGAGATGGCAGAGCAACCCTTGCTGTTTAAAGAAAGCGAATGCCATATTCACATCCTTCCTCAGGAAGACCACAAGCAGATTGACACCTATGAGTCACGCATTAAAATCTGGTCATGTACTGCCCATGGGCATAGGAAGGTACAGCTTTTCTGTAAAGTGGTCAGACGGCATGCATCAGAAGACTCAACAAAGTTCACACACACAGGCTTTCCAGGAGGTAGATTTTAGAGATGGGTGAAGACAGCAAGAAGAGGCTATCCCAATTATTTTACTGTTGCTAAGACACCTGAAGCAACCCTATACCTCCCAGATAAGAAAACAATTTATGTTCATTATTATGAGTCCATATGCTGGTTGTAGCCCTTGGGCTTCACCAGACACTAGATCAATGCCAAAAACTCAGCAAATATTTTATAGATTTATGACTGAATGAGCTATAGTGCAGCTATGAAAATATTTTCAAAGACTGTTTAATGGCAGGAAGAGTGTGAACGCATAATGCACTTACTGCTTAGTGGAAAAAGAAAAGAAAAATATCATTAATGCTGACAAAGGTCAGCTCTTGCTCTTAATATTTTCTTAGTAATATTTTTTCCTATTTTCAAAGTCTTAAAAAGCTATAATCATAGACTGTTGTTTTCATCTGAAAAAAATGAACAATGGAATATTTTTAAAGGCTCCTCTGGGAAATTTTGTTCCTTGAGTGAATGAACAATGGCATTTATTTCAAACTCAGCTGAGCTGTGATTGTTGAAATCCAGCTCAACTGTGACTGCTTATATAATGGTATTCACACACAATATATTCAAGGAAAATGCTATATAGAGATAAGTCTCTGGCTTTCACTAAGTCAGATAACAGAATTAAGGATATGCTGGCACCTTCAAAAAACATGAATGCTATCCCTTCATCATCAAAATGTCTTACATAATTAGGAAAACACTAGTTTTTCTATCTACACTTACAAAGTAAAGGATTACTTACTCATATTGATCCAAGTTGTTTGATTTCTTTCCTGTAACATAATTACTTGGAATATATCCTTCACTCCTAGAATTAAGATGAGAAAACAAACAGAAACTACTTTATTTTTTGTTTAAGGAACTGTAACTGATTTTCTAAAGCACATTACCTAAAGTTTATACAAAACTCAGCTATTCCAATAATTCAATGTATCTGTATTGTCCAACACTTTATGTAAGTCCATATCTGATCCTCACAAAGATTTTAGCTGTACAGACATTACTATACCCATTTTCTCATCAGGGTGTGAACTTGAATATTCCATGTATCCTTTCTAGGGATGTCTTAAAGAAGCTACTACATCACAAAAGTCTAAGTGTTGGATAGAGTCACCCACTGTTCTACTACCTCAGGAAGCTCTACAGGACAGCATCACCAGGGGCAGCCTATGCCATCTGTATTCGTACCATGAGGGACTGGTTAAAAAGGAAAATCCTTGAGAGATCTGAATTAAGAATGCCTGTGTGGTACAAAGAAACCATCTGCTTTATCCTTGGTGACTCCTATGTACACTACACTACAGTTTAAGGAACACATCTGTGTTGGTAGGAGCCACAATGCTCATGTATAATTTTTTTAACTAGAAGCTTTATAAACTTTTATTTGGTACTGAATCTCTATTAAAAGCTCATCATACACATGCACGCAGCCACTCCCACTTACCTACCCACATACACACATCTCATACATACATGTATGCATGCACAGGCATGTGCGCTTTACCTCACCGACAGAAGCCTAGAAGCAATGACAATACACCAAGAAATAGAATCCCAGAATTCTACCTGCTATCTGTAAAACAGTGTTTCTGACTGAAAAGAGGCAGAATTCCTTGGGGGAGATGCCAAACTGCAGGTCCGAGGTGAACTTGAATTGTTTTACTGAGTCAGAGAGCAAAGACAAATTAATATGCTCCTTCACTTAAACCAAACAGAGTGTGACTCCTTTAGACTTAAACCTAACACAAAAGCATCCAGCACCAGGAAAAACCACTGGTTACCACGGTCCCCATCAGAGGAAATGTAGTCATCAACTTATTCTGAGAAACCGTGAGAGTTAAGGAACATCTGGACCTGCCTTTCCTGCAAGAACTAAATGCACCCATTGATGAGGCAGTTCCTTGGAGAATTACAGCTGTGGGTGTGATGGTGGAGTTAGGAAAGGCACCATTTTGTAATTCCTAGGGAAGGAATGGGTCTAAGCTGTTAAGCGTTAGTGGATGCTAATGTCAAGAGGGGATACATGTTATGGGAACTTTACGATGTGTCTGTCAGGCCAGCTCCTGAACCAGGAGCATCCTCAGCACCATTAACAATAGCGCAGCTGGAGATCATCTTCCAGGTGACTAAGCTTCTAGCTCCAACCACCGGATTACAAAAACAGGCTGACACAGAGGTATGCCAGACATCCCAAGAAGGGGGCAGTCCACCTAATATAGATGATTGCTCATTTTATAAGATAAATAAACCCGTCTCATCAGATCGAAAATGAAAAGAGGAAAGGACTACTGGAAAGCAAAACAAAAAAGACACAGGAGACATATCTAAGTCAGGTGTGGAGGCACACACCAATGGTCACTCCCCTTAAGCCCTAAATTACCTGTACAAATAATGCTTGCTGTATATACACAGACATGTATTTTATACACATTACACCTATATGCACATTTACATAGAGAATGAAAGAGGTTGTTCCATTATACTAAGTATACTGGGGGGAGAGAGAGAGAGAGAGAGAGAGAGAGACAGAGAGACAGAGAGACAGAGAGACAGAGAGACAGAGAGACAGAGAGAGAGAGAGATTAGAAGAAAAATATAATGAACTATTTCTTAGAGAAATTTATGTAAGTGTAGAGCACTTGCCTAGCATTTGCTTGGCAGGCAGGCATTCATGCATGTACACACACAATCACATCACCTATAAGAAAAATAAATCTAAAAATTTTAAAGTATGCCACATGGCGCTGCAAATTCATAGTTTAGTTGAGTTTGTGGCTGTCAGGGCTTGTCTGTCTTACAGTGCACACACACTTCACTTGTACTCACTGGGAGTCCCACACCAAGGAGACACTTACCCATACTTATCTCTTGCTCTCCACCAGTGGACGTCATTCTTTTCCAGTATTATATACTCTTGGCCTCTCTCTAACCTGAGGTCATGTGCTTCTGTTGCTTGGAAATCATACATCGCTACAACTATTTCCTCAGTACTTTCTTCTTCCGGGGGAATTGGTGGAGGAGGCCTTCTCTAGGCAGAGAAGAGAACATTGGCAAGTTCAGCTTCCATTTGAAACTGCTCGTGGGTTGTAGCAGTAAAATCCTAAAGGACTCACCTGTCACCACGGAGTAAAAGTCTCAAGTCTAGTCTAATCTGCCTAGTGAAACCTGTGAGGCCTCTCATGATAATGTAGATGTTGTTGGGCTTTTTTTAAGAGTTCCAGATTCAAGGGAGGGCTTGACTATTACAAGGGTTTTGTTTGATGATTGTTTTTGTGTTCTCAGGTCAGGGATAGTTTTCCAGAGAGAGATGTGATGACAACCAATGAGTAGGCAGACTAATGAACAGGCGTTGGGAGATCCGTGCATCGTGAAGTCTTCAACAGATCTCCCTCTAAAGCAATGTGCATTCCTTTATGCCTTCATACGTCCAGGACCTAGTGTTTTCTTATTTATTCTTTACAATGCTACCACGAAGACAAGCATTTACTATGTAGTAAGTCCTAAGCTGCAGCTGAATCAACCCACCCAAAGCTTAGTAACCCATCCAGAGCTCTTACTGGCTAAGGTACTGACTGGGACTAAATTACATGTTATTCCATTGTATCCCACTCCACAGGCATATCATTAAATCACTCCTTTATTGTGCCATGTTCTTAAGACAGAAATAGTCCTTTAAAATGACACACCTCTCAAATGACTCCTGAAGCCAATCTATCAGAAGGTAGTAAGACCCCAATCAATAAAGGACTAAACTGACAGTCTTGACATCAAGAACCATTCAAATGAGCTCTGCTTCTAAGGTGTTCCTGGGAGGAAGCAGTATCACATGGCTGAACATAAATACAGTCAAAAGACCACAAACCCTTCTAAAACACACAGGCTTGGACGAGCAGGGAACGTAGAGATTTAACATGAAGGCAGAGACTACTCACCTTCTTTGCTTCTGGTGCTGGGGGCAGTGTTTTCCTTATACCTGAAAATGCCAATAAATGTCCATCACGATGGTATCACACAAGAACTGATGGGGAGAAGACACTAGTGTGGAGAACGAGCTCTAGGCAGGGGACCACTGCACCCAGCTTCCAACATACACTAACACTGTGATCTTAGTATTCCCCACACAGCATCTCCCTGGCTCTTACTTGTTCTTAGAATCAAAACCTAAGCTGGGGTCTGAGAGCATGAGGCCCTGGGTTCAATCTTGAGCATCACAGCAAACTAGGTGAATGAATGTGTAAGTTAAGTTACAATAGTGCTCCCTCATCTATGGCTTCACTTTCCACGCTTTGAATTGCACCAGTGAGCCACAGTGTGAGAATATCAAATGGAGCAATTCACAAGCTTCCATTTGTGCACTCTTCTGAGAAGTGTGATAAGAATCTCTAGATGTCTGGCTCACATCGTCCCAGGAGGTGAATTGTCCCTCCAGCACGTCCACACTGCATCCACTATCCTCGCCATTAGTCACTTACAGTCTCGGCTCTCGTATCAACTGTGGTGGTATCACAGCACAGCAACCGTTTCTAACTGAGTGATGGCCCCAAATGCAAGAACAGCGATGCTGGCACTGGGATACACCAACAGAAGCTGAAAAGTGGACCCTTGATCTGAAAAGCTGAAAGGTCTCAACCAAATAAGGAAAGAAAAAAAAAGCATTCTGGTGTTGTTAAAATCAGCAACACGATTAGAAATTGTGTGTGATAACTTTTATTATAGCATGTTACTAGAGTCATTCTATTTTATTGGTAGGTGTTATAGTTAATCCCTTACTGTGTCCAAATTATAAATTATACTTTATGACTGGAACGTATGTATCAGGACATAGTATAATAAAGTCAGGATGACCTTCATTCCCTGGGGTCCTAGGAGAGATCTGTAGATAAGTGGCACGCTGTAATGGTAGCACTGAGAAATGCATGAGTTCTGTCAGTCTGTACCTCTACGGTTCTTGAGTTTGGTGTGGCACATGGTCACGCAGATAGTGGACAGAGATGAAGCTCTGATCGAAGGAGTGGGGCATCTTTAGACGCTGTCCCTGTAAAAACCTTCTGGATCCTTTCCCTGCTCCGTTGCTAAAAGAGCGAGGGTGGCAGAGTTGGAAGAATCTCTACAGCACTGCAGGGCCATCGCAGACCCATGCCTGCCAGCTCTCGGCTAGCTGTTTGCCTCTGTCTTACCACATGACACAAAACAAATTACTAGCTTTAACTAAATGTAACTTCTCAGTCATTTCTCCACCAAGGCAGGGTGGATGATACCCCGATAGGCAAATGCCAGCAGCCTAGAAACTTGGGTCTTGCTTTAATGTGCTAGGCTAATGCCTGGGTGACCACCCCAGAAGATTCAGAGGGGAGGAACTCAGAATCAGGGCTGTCCCTGCCCAAGGCAGCAACCCTGACCCCCTCTCCAGACGTTGCATCAAATGTCACAATGCAGGTGAGAGCATGGGACATCCCATCCTCCTCAGCACTAGTGGTTTCTGGTCTCTGATTTTGACTCATGACTAAGAGCCTCCCACAGCAAGGGCTTATAAGGGTCCTGGTAAAGAATTAACCTGCTTCCCTGAATCTGACTCTGCGATTACAGACATACACCACCATCTGTGGTCCACACTTTTAACTGATTCATTTTAACAGGCCTCCCTGTTGTGATAAAAGCTCCCCAAAGAGACCTCACCTCCATAAGGCCCACTGCTAAGTAAACACCATCACTCTTGGATGCTATATCTACCTTGCATTTGCACTTTCCTAGGTAGTGTGCAGTACTTGATCAGAATCAACATCCCATCCCGTCTCCCAGCACCAGTATGTGCTCATTCCGAGTACACCACTCCCACAGAATCAGATGCATACGTACTGCTCTCAAAAAGATTGTATTTTTCACATCCGGGTGCTAGTTTTTCCGTTTGTCTGCAACACTGGTAACTTCCGTCTGCCCAAAACTTAGGATGATATTTAATCATAATGTTATTGTTGTTCTTTATTTCTGTAATCCACAGACATATGAATGGTTAGTGAAACAAAACAAACTAAAGTTTTGGTGAGCAGAACTTTACCTGCATCATTACCTCTTCCGTGACCAACATGCTTGTTATGAAAATGCCTATGACATTACACATTCAGTGTTCAGAAAAGCTGGATGGTTTTCTTCCTCTGTCCCTTTAACTGACGAAATACTCGTGTGAAGAGAAGTGAATCACTGCTACTCCATGGGGGAGCAACGGCCACTACCACTGTGTTCCATCACACAAAGGAGTATGGAGCAAGGCAGACTGGCCATGTAAGCCCTTCCCCATGACAATGTGATTCCATTCACACCACGTGTCTGACGCAGGCAATTTCTTAGGAAATACAAATTCTGATATTACAAAAGCCCATGCTTTATCACCTTCAACCACATTGTGTGATAAATGGAAGCACGCTTTTACTAGAAAAAAGAATTCAACTAGAAAGAAATGAGATTAAAAAAAAAAAAAGGAAATCTGGCTGGGCAGTGGTGTTGCCCGCCTTTAATCCCAGCACTCAGGAGGCAGAGGCAGGCGGATCTCTGTAAGTTGGAGGCCAGCCTGGTCTACAGAGTGATTTCCAGGCCCGCCTCCAAAGTCACAGAGAAACCCTGTCTCGAACACTCCCCCCCCCCCAGCAAAACAAAGGGGGAAAAAAGGAAATATGTCTTTCATGCATTATCACTTAACATCACTGACTGTCCTTGGAGAAATATTCACTATAGTTAATTATAAATGCAAGTGCTGTATTAACAATATGCCTGCTTTTTGTGATATCCTAACATTATATAGAATGCATGAGTTTTTACCTTCTTTTAACTTCTTCACCCATCGGTCCCTGCTTTGCGGACTAGGTGCAAAAATATAAAGTGTGTTAGCATCATGAACAACCTAAAATAAAACAAAAGATGAAACCAGTAACGATATTTGGATACAACACTTCTGTCTAACAGAGCCCATGATACTACAAGCATTACTACAAGATTCCTGCATGACTAAAAACAAATGCATTACTTCAGAAATCTATAGATTCCTTAGTTACAAAGGCACATCTAATTCTTAATTTCAACATAAAACGGGGTATGTGTTTTCCAAATTATTGTAGGAACTGTGTGTGTGTGTGTGTGTGTGTGTGTGTGTGTGTGTGTGTGTGTGTGTGTGTAGAGGCCAGAGGACAACTTTGGGTATTGTCTCTTAGGCACCTTGTATCTAATTTATTTAGACAGGGTCTCTCACTGGTCTATAACTTACGAAGTAGATTAGGATGTCTGGCCAGAAAGCCATGGGGTCTGCCTGTCTCCACAAGCATGCACCACCACACCTGGCTTTCATGTGGGCACTGGGCTATGATTCAGGTCCTAGGGCATTTATGAACTGTCCAGACTCACGACTGCATTTTCACAGAGGAAAACAGGTGCAGACTGCTCTCGGGATGCTCTGCATCTCACCTTACATAACTAAAGTCCTGTGGATAAGCTTGGTGCCCTAAGGTTTATTCTAATCTGGTATTTTTCTAAAGAATATTTTTGGATGAATTTTGTTCCTGTCATTTCCTTTTGCCTCATCGATGGATGTAGTAGATAGCTTTAAGAAGCACTGAGTCTTACAGTACTAAGCTATGGCTTCACTGATGTTAATTCAATCCATCAAGGGATCAGCATTTCTACTTTATAGACAAGGAAATGAAGTCCTAGTCAAGACTCTACATTTCTGCATAGCTTTGGGAGGAACCATGCACATGGCCGGCATGATTAGTCTTATTTTATATTTTTCTAATTAATAATAAGCCTTGGAAATTAACCTAGGAACCTTGCTATGATTCTGAGATGTTATCCCAAATGGGCAGTCACAAGGCAGAAACACCCTTGATTGACTAAAACATAACGTGTTGTATTATAAGCCTCCTTTGCCAGGCCAATACCCATTATACTGAAAAGTAAACCACTATCTCTTTGGTCACAGTTGTTCCTGGCCTGGTAAACCCTTCCCAATTCATTTTAACACCTACATTTTGGTAGGACTATCCAAGACACAAAAATGCATCAAACATGAGCCTACTTGTAAGATATATCTAGAAATGCTGTATTACAAGACAGAATGTGAGAGGTGGTACCAAAGACACCTATTAACAGAGACGTGGAGAGATGGTTTCATATTTGCTACATGTTTTCACGCCTTACCCAGTTTTGCCTGTACAACCAGCTCTGTAATAATAAATAATTAAGTGTAGTATACCAGGAAAGTCATCCTGAATTAGAAGATATATCTAAAAAGAGATTGGGCTTGGACTATCCCAAAAATTACGATGTTGCTGTAATAATAATCTGGTTAGTACATTAATTTATTAACTCACCAATTTGGTCTAAACATTTACAGATGCCTCCTGGCTTAATCTGTAGGGCAGACAGGGTCTCTAGCAACTATAACTCTATTACCTTAGTAACATGGGAGTTTTTTTTATTTGTACAAAGATTTCTAGGAACACTGCCCTTAATCTGAGTAATAAACATCTAACTTTTGACATCTCAGGCAGTTTGCTTGTCTGAGAAGATTCTAAGGTACCAGTCTCCTTCCATCGACAAATCACAGTTCACACCACGCCTGCCCCTGAAAACCTGCAAGAGTCAGCAACCCCTTCGTTATGTAGAGTTGCAGTCTCTCCATTCAGGGCGCCATTGCACTGCCTACAGTGCACACCGCCCTCTCTCCCTTCAAGCCCAGCCATGCTCTCCTAACTGTTTTCCCACATAAGGGCCTCAGCCTGCATCTCTCCTAATTCATCAGACTAGTCATTTCCTGCCAGCTCCTTTCAATGAACTTGCTTTTTTTTTCTTCCTAAAAAATACACAACCTTGACTGTTTTTTCATTCACAAAGTGGCTCTGTAGGAGTTGTTTACAACCAATGAGCATCACTTTCCTTGGTCATAAGCGAGAACAGTAGAACACACGATCGTCGTGTAGTTTCATCAACATATACAGCTACTATTACCTTTTTCATCGAGAGAAGCCCTTTCATCTCATTTCTGTTTGAAAGTAAATCATGCTTGCTACTTTCCAGCATCTCAAGTTCACAGAAAGAATTCCAGTGGGCTTTGTTCAGTTCCAGAGCTCACTCCTCTGTTCTTGGTGGTTAAAGTGACCCACGGGAAAGACCTGGGGTTTAGTGACTCAGGACCAATGGTAGACTACAGCAGCCAAAACAAAAACCAAAATGGCTGCCAAAGACTTAAGCAGTTACAAGAGAGGCAAGGACTCTGAAGATGACAAAGGAGCCCCAAAATCAGCCACCAAACCCGGGACAGGAAATTGTAATGTCAAATGGGAGCAGGACAAAGGTGGGTATCTAAGGCTGCCAACTCACCTGGAATGGATATTTATTTTGACAGGGAATGACACCATCATCATTCTTCACTATTTCCACACACTTGATTTTTGAAATATCAATGAATCCCTTTCTGTATTTTTTCTATGAAAAGAGAAAAAGAGGATATGTGTCACAACCACAGGACATAAAAAAACTACTTAATAATTATATTTGATGATGAAATTACTGATTCAAAAGACTACAACTTCAGAGCAGGCACGATAACACAAAGACAGTCCCGTAGGTAACCTGCTTGCCTTACAAGCATAAGAACTTGAGTTTGATGCCCCAGAAACCATGTAAAAAGAGCCAGGTGCAGGTGGATGCTTATGAGCCTGACACTAAGCAGGCAGATTCCTGGGGTTCAGTGGCCAGCCAGCCTACCTGGAATGACAAATTCCAGACCAACGGAAAAGAAACTGAGATTCAAGGCTATCTTCAGACCTACACACACACACACACACACACACACACACACACACACACATTTGTGCACACAGTCATTCAGCACAATTTCTTTAACAATTACATAAATCACATTTTCCTTACCTGTTCAAAATATTAACACTCTGTTAACTGTAATTAAAGTCATTAGATCCTTTCATTTCTAATGATGAACTTGTTTTATCCTTGCTTCAAAAGCAAAAGCAAAACCTCTGAAGCAGAGACACAGACTCCCTTTCATTGCTGTCTTCCCCTCTAGATATACCCTTTGTTCAACTCTTGACAATGGTGCTCATTTAAAGCAAAGTATTAAAGACCAAACACACAGGACTCATTTACTGGGGCACCGACACACACTCTAATCAACTGCACTTCCTCCTATATGGAAGGGCCTCCCTTGCAGCAGCGCAGAGTTCAGGATCATTGATAGGAAGTGAACTGCTATAAACACGTAAAACTCAGCCTAGACATAGTGTGAGAAGCTGGGCTTCCTCACCACCCTCCCAGGCTTCCTGCTCACTGTAGATCTGCCAGAAATCTATCAGAATGCACCCACACCCTCATACCTGGAGATTCATTCCAGGGAAGAATACAAAAAAAAAAAAAGCATGTACAAGGATCCAAGAATGGGTACGCATGAAAAACTAACAACAAATACAGCATTCAGATAGAAAACATTTGTTAAAATAAAACTGAGCACTGCACACAAGAAGGCTTCCAAAGACTAAGGTTACTTTTTTATATTTATATAATAAAGAAGAGAAAGAAGGAAGAAGGAATACAACCGTACACTCCTGGAATCAAGCACTGAAAATTATTTTCTTCAAGCTGGACCTGATGGCACAGGCATATATCCTAGCTACCCAGGTGGCTGAGGCAGGAGGATCAAAAGCTCAAGGACTGCTGGGGCTATGTAGGAAGTTGAAGGCTAGCCCGAGCAACTAAGTGAAACCCATCTTCAAAAGAGCAGAAGAAAAGGGCAGGGAGAAGGGATATGGAGAAGGCCAGTGTAGCTCAGTAGAGCACTTGCCTCGCCTGTGCTAGGCCTGTGGTTCAATTCAGAGTGTGAAAGTGAAAACAAAATAGAAAGAAAATTATTTCATCTGACACTGTCGTCTCTCTGACCACAGCTGTATTCTGTCATCTCTATACTGTGCCCTAGAACCTACATGACATCCTCAATGACAAGCCTGAACAATCCTGCAGTGGTGGCACATGCCTTTAATCCCAGCACTCAGGAGGCAGAGGCAGAGAGATCTTTATGAATTCAAGGCCAGTCTGGACTACAGAGTGAGTTCCAGGACAGTCGGGTCTACATAGTGTCTTGGGGTGAGGGGAAGCCTTCACGCCTGCCCCACTCAAGCTGTCAGCAGCTTCTATCCCTCTAGCCTTGTTTGCCTGTTATCCCACTAACACATATGTCTGTCAGGTGTTCATTATTCATCCCTCCCTCCTCCATCCTTTTCTCCCCCTCTCTCCCTCCCCTGCACCTCCAGATACTCTAATCAGTCTTCGGTTTGATCCCTGGTCCCTTGAAAATGGTCATCCTCTCCACACCTAGCTGGGCCCTTGCTGCTGTTCTCCAGTCCTGTGCTTCTACTCCAGAGGCCACCAGCACTGCCAGGCCTTGCTCTCCCCTAGAGGCACAAGCTCTGACAGCTTTATCTGAAAGGTCCACAGTCGCTCCCAGGGCAGGCCCTCAGCTCCTCTGTCCTGTACCTCAGTGGCCTTCTAAGGCCTTACCCTTGTCTCCTCTTCTAATCCTGTTTTTTTTTTTGTTTTGTTTGTTTTGTTTTTTGTTTGGTTTTGGTTTTTCCAGACAGGATTTATTTGAGTAGCTTTGGAGGCTGTCCTGGAACTTGCTTTGTAGGCCAGGCTAACCTCAAACTCACACAGAGATCCACCTGCCTCTGCCTCCTGAGTGCTGGGAATGAAGTTGTGATCCACCACCGCCTGGCCCTAACCATGTTTCTAAGACAAGATAAGGAGACGCAGTAACTGACGACTATAGCTGACATTTCACAGATGCATTTCAGTTCTGTGCCCACAGCAGCCGGTGGAGTAGGCCTATTCTCCTCACTCTACGGGTGATGAGACCATAGCTCACTCTAGTTGAATACAGTCCCTGAAGACCTTCACTGCTGCCAAAGCCCTCTGGCCCCTAGGATGCCCCAGCTGCAAGGAGTGGGAGGTGTTGGGCACGGAGCTCCCTCAGGGTTCAAGTTCAAAGTCAGCCTTGTCTACATAGCTAATTCCGAGCATTTGCTTCTGCCTATAGACATCTAAACCAGCACCAGCCTTCAGACCAACCTGATACTTCATTCTTCTTCCTTCCTGTGAGAACAACTAAATGCTCAAACTTACACTTCCTTCCCACCCACTCCCCTGACCACTTGCAACCTGCAACCCCCGCAGTTGGCTAGGGACAACCACAGAGAACGTCAGTGATGACCAAGCTCAGCAGACTTGCTAGCGTGCCTCTGCTCTCTGACCCTAAGAGCCCCGACACTCTCTTCTCCTTTGGTGTCTCTGCCTTTGGGCCATCCTGACTGTCCCTCTCTCCTTTCCCCTTGGTTTCTCAATCCGCATCTGACTTGTGCCAACAGTGGTGTCAAGAACAACAACAAACAAACAAACAAACATCGCAAACTAAGAAAAACTCACTACCCCAGGAGTCTCCTGCAGTTACCCTGCAAGGTAAGACCCATTTTACAGATAACAAAACTAAGTAGCACACTCCAGCTTACCTGTGGGAGAAACTGATTCGGGAGTCACTGCGCAAGGCTACGTATAGAAAGCTACTGTACAGTGCTACACATGAAAGAAAAAGCTGCTCAAAGGCCTTTAGTCTCAGCACCTGGGAGACAGAGGCGGTGGATCTCTGTGAGTTCCCGGTCTACAGAGTGAGTTCCAGGACAGCTACACAGAGAAACCCTGTCTCAAGACAACAGAAAGATGTCTGTGATTTCTATGTCAGAAATGGGATAGCAGAAAGAGAATCCCCAGCAGAATTCATAAGCCACACAATGAAAACCACAATCCAACACAACTCTCCTCGTCTGTAAAATGGGAATGATGGCAGTTTCAATCCCCATAGGCTTGGTAAGAGGGTTAAATAAGCTGATATTGCAGATGTGTTTAAAGGAATGTCTGGCTCGAAGTAACAGACCTGGGATTATTTGCTAAATAAAAAAGCAAAAGCAGACCAGAGTGACCGAGGACAGCATAAGGCAGGATGGAGAGGGGGCCTTGTAAATAACCTGCTACAGTGTCTGGTCAGGCCCGTTACCCATCCTTCTCCTAGGGACCACACTCACTGACAGGTAGAAGAAACTGCAAGCGCATCATCCTGTTAACTTGTCACATGTGTTCACTGTAGAAACCTTAGAAATAGCAGAAGTCCTGTGAGCCCTCATCGCTAACCCCGAGGCAACATCACTGCCCTCAGGAGACTATTCTCCTCAGCCAGCTCACCAGCCCTGCAGCAGGAAGGAAGGCGTGTTCTGCTTCCAAAACACCTATCTCCAACTGCAACATCAACCTTGGGCTATGGCAGCCAGGGTCAGAGGGGGATGACTTTGACAATGGATTAATTTATACACACGCTCTAAGGAAGTCTCCTAATGTGGTGATTTGTATTTGGGCTTTTGGATCCAAAGACCTTCCAGGAACAGTCAGTGGTAGTGGACAGGCACAGACCAACGCTGACACTGGGAGTCTGAGGACCTGAATTCAGGTGAAGCCAGCTCTCCCTGATTCCATCACAGAAAAGAATTTCAGGATGAGCCAGGGTGAATCAAAGGTAACAGTTTGCCAAGTGGAGATAAGGGATAATATATATGACCTTAAGAGATGATATTCGAAGGGAAGGGGAGAGAGAAGGGGAACAATGTATAACTGAATGAGAGAGAGATGATACGATATGATATGATATACAGTTAAGCTTTAAGTATGAAGAGTTGGGGAGGGATAGGAGGGAGAACACTCAAGTATGTGTCTGTTCAGGAAGGTTCCACGAAGGTTTCGAGCAGGGATGCAGATTCTTGAATCCCCTTGCTGAAGAATGGTTGTCTTTTAGACTGTCCCTTCCTCACAGCAAGTGGAGGGTCAGGGAGGAAGGAGACAGCCAGATGGCCAGATAAAACAAATCACCCAAATCACCATTGGCAAGTGGCACAGCTGTTGCAGCCAGACTGCCCTCCCCCCCAGACTGTGACTCAGTTACACTGCTCAAAGGAGATGACCTACAGGTTCAAAGATAAAACGAAGTTTTAAAGTGGGGTGGTGGTGGTGCATGTTGTTAATCCCAGCACTCAGGAGGCCGAGGCAGGCAGATCTCTGTTGAGTTTGAGGACAACATGGTCTATGGAGTAAATTCCAGGACATCCAGGGCTCTTCAGAGAAACCCTGCCTCAAAAACAAGTTTTAAATTTAAGTTTTAAAAAAAAATCACATGAGCTTGTGAGCTGCTCTACTCAATGGATCCTCTCTTAGTGAATTCCCTTTTATCGATGGACTGGTTTTATGATACGAACTGCTTAGATTTAGGGATGAGAGAAACATGCTAATGAGGTTACAGTCCAGGCCAAAGACGATCTCACGCTAAGTGAGGAGTTCATCTGTCCTTTGGAACATCCCTGCGTGAACAGCCCTAAGGA